TTGCCGGAAAATGTCGTCGGTGGCCGGAATTCGTCACCGATGGTCGGAATTTGTCGCCGGAATTGAAATGACCTGTAATAACAGGTCATTTATCGATTTTTGGGCTTCATTGACCTATTTGACATGTTTTAGTGTTTAATTGAATTTTTTTAAAGTTTAGGAGCCTAATTGACCTTTGGGGTAAAGTTTAAGTGTTTATTTGACCCTTTTCTCTTCATACTATTATTTTTATAACAAAATTACCTTTATACTGTTAAACTTTGATTAATATATATTCTGTATTAAATACTACCATAATTACATTTAATCATTTATCATTTACCATTTACATGGTTTAAATATCCCGTATACTTTGACCCCGAAAATATGAAAAGTTGTGTATTTACTTTTGCTAAACAGAGGAGAGATGTGACAAAATTGATTACTCATGGTTCCTTCGATTTTTAAATTTAATCATTCGTGGTCTAAGTTAATCACTCATAATTATTCAATTTTCAAAATTTAACCAACTATGGTCTTTTTGAAAAGACCGTGGCTGGTCAAAATTTAATAGTTAAAGGGTCATGGGTAATTAAATTGGACCACGGATGATAACAATTTGAAAATTGAAGGACCGAGAAATTTAAAAGTTTAGGACTAAACATGACAAAATCACTATATTCGGAGGATCTTATGTGGTATTAACTCACTTAATTAAAATGCAGTAAGATTAAGGTAGCAATCTTTGAACAAATACTACAATGTAATAGAGTCAGTAACATTAAAAAAAAAAAATAGCAATCCATTTCTCAGCTCCAATGTGAACGCAATTTCTGGAAATTTGAAATTAATTAATCGAAGTTTGTAAATTGACCTGGATGGTACCTAAAAACCATGAATGGCTTCAACAAAATCAGTAATCAATTAAAATAATTAACACCATAATCAGTAATCAATTAAAATGATTAACACCATAATTAGACTCTTAATCTGGCTGCCAATTTTAAGATCTGCCGTTACGATTGAAACCTTTTTGAGAAATATGTGCCCCTTTCTATATATTTATTCCTTCCTAACTTCTTAGTCAAATCCATTTACTACTCCAACATTCATAACTAAAATTGACCTATAAAATGTTCTTTTTGAGAGTGTTTCATGTATACACATGTATTCATGTGCTTGTCACAAGTTATAGTGTGTTTACGCTTTAAAACATCTGCCATGTAAGACAATTTCGATTCACAATTTTAAAACACACACAAATAAGTATGTATATAACAAGCCTTTAGTCCTCGTCACATCAGAAAAATTTGACTCCTAATCTTATTATTACTATACTAGCTATAATTTTGACTTGAAATACACACATACATATATATAGAGGAAAAGCAAGTTCTTGTCCATGCATATATACTTGGTGGTTTGAGTTTGCAAATTAAGAGTTATTAGGCAAATGGGTTCATCAGTAGCAAATCAAAGTGTTTTTGAGAAGAGAGCCACTTTGATTCAACAAGCAATAAAACTTGTAATATTGGTGATTTCTCTTGGCTATTCTTTGGTATGGATTATGATGCCCACTTCTCTCTTCTTTCAAAACTGGTTGCCTCATATTTATCTCCACCTCAACTCAACTTACCTTGGACATACAGGTAATTCATATATATATATATATAGTTTTTTTTTTTTTTGTTGAATACATATATATACTGTATATCTTAGTGAGGTCACTAAAATTATTTGTTTTTTTTTTGAAGGCTCTCTTATTGTGATTTACACGTTCCTAATTTTACTGGTTGCTACCTTGGGATGTATATATGTTCACCTGGAGAACTACAAGAACAACAACAACAACAACAATCACTTTGATGATCAAAGGTAAATAGAAGATTAAACATGCATATATCCTTAAAGTTTGCCAAGTTTAAGGTTGAAATGTCACAAACTGTTGAGCGAAGGCCGATAAAGGCCAAGTCTAGCACCGAGTGACTGGAAGATTGTTGGGTGGAGGTCTGTAAAGGGCGATCAAGCCCAGTACCCAGCATTTCGAAAATGTGTGGCTGTATAAAGAAATAAAGTTACGTCTTTATTAAGAGTTATAACTTTTGGCGTAAGTGATAAACGTTTGATCCTAACACAAACTAAGATATATGACAGAGAGTACAAAACATCATGGAGTCGGCCAGCACTGGTGAAAGGCCCTCTGGGAATTGTTTCATGGACAGAGCTATCTTTCCTCTCCATGTTTGCAGCATTGTTTATATGGTCCTTGTTCAGTTATCTTCACAATGCTTTCCAATTTATAACCCCTCAATATGCTGCTGAAATGGGGGTCAAACTGTGAGTCTACTACTGCGAATCATAACATGAAGTTCATTTAATTTCAATGTTTGTTTAGTAAAAAGTTGGATGAATAATTAATGGGTTTTTGGAATTGGCAGGTGGGAAGTTAAGTTAGAGGCTACAGGTCTGAGATTTGGGATAATTGGCAACATTTTCTTGTCATTTTTGTTCTATCCAGTGTGTAGAGGATCATCAATTCTGAGACTAGTAGGCCTCACCTCAGAAGGAAGCATTAAGTATCATATCTGGCTTGGCCACACTGCTATGCTCCTCTTCACAGCACATGGGTTATGCTATGTTATCCTCTGGGTGTCTACACACCAGATTGCAGAGGTAAGTGAGTACATTTCTCATTTTTCATGTTAGGATCAAGCGCTTACCGCTTACGTGTCAAAAGCTATAGCTAGTAGCCAACGCACAACTAATTTGACCCTTTACTGGTTTCTGTCCAACAATCTCCTGGAGCCACCGGGTGCTAGACTTGGCCTTTGCCGGTCTCCGTCCAACAATTCCCCTCCCAGCACCAATCAACTCGTGACTTGGCTCTTATATCACTTGCAAGGATCAAGCGCTTACCACTTACGCGAAAAGCTATAGATAGTAGCGAAGGCGCAACTCCTTATACCGTCACACATTTTCGAGACGCTGGGTGCTGGATTTGTCTCTTTACTGGCCTCTGTCAACAATTCCCCTCCTAGCACCAATCAACCTGTGACCTGACTCTAATACCATTATTAGGATCAAGCTTACCACTTACCCCAAAAGCTAAAGCTAGTAGCGAAGGCGTAACTTTATTAATACCATTGTCAGGATCAAGCTTACCACTTACGCCAAAAGTTATAGCTAGTAGCGAAGACAGCAACTTTATTTCCTTATACCACCACACATTTTCTAGACGCTAAGTGATGGACTTGGCCCTTTATCGACCTGCGCCAAACAATCCCTCAGCCACTGGATGCTAGACTTGGCCTTTACCGCCTCCACCCAACATTTCACTTGTTTTTTTTGGAGAAGTTAAGATTGATTTAGGGTGTGGGGGACTTTTGCAGATGGTGACTTGGAATAAAGTTGGGATTTCAAATCTGGCAGGGGAGATAGCACTGGCTGCTGGGTTGGTTATGTGGAGTACTACCTCCTCGCGGATCAGGAGGAAGGCTTTCGAGCTCTTTTTCTATACACACTATCTCTACATTGTGTTTGTGGTGTTTTTTGTTTTCCATGTGGGGTTTGGGTACTTCTGCGTAATGCTCCCTGGGTTTTACCTCTTCTTGGTGGATCGCTTTCTCCGTTTCTTGCAATCCCAGCAGAGAATTGGCCTGGTTTCAGCACGAGTATTGCCTTGCCAAACTGTTGAGTTGAACTTCTCTAAAACCCCATGTAATCATACCACACTTTCTAACTTCAATTTCAGGCTTTTTGCTTCCCAACATGTGTTTACTTTGTTTAATGTTGTCACTTGTCAGGCCTAAGGTATAATCCGACGAGTAGTGTTTTTGTAAACATGCCTGGCATATCGAAGCTTCAATGGCATCCATTCACAGTTACTTCGAGCAGCAAAATGGATTGTGAGACGCTAAGCGTTGTGGTCAAGAGCGCAGGGAGTTGGTCTCAGAGGCTGTACCAGAACCTGTCGTCGCCATTGCCAAAACAACATCGTCTTGAGGTGGGTCTGGAAGGGCCTTATGGACCTGATGCTGTGTCGACCCCCCGGTTCTTGGGGCACGAGAGGCTGGTGATGGTCAGTGGCGGGAGTGGCATAACGCCATTCATATCCATCATCAGAGAGCTGATACACATTGCAGCGACTTCCAGCACCCGGAGGCTACCAAAGCTGCTTCTTGTAGCTGCATTCAAGAACTCTGTGGATTTGACAATGCTGGATCTTGTGCTGCCTCTTTCAGGCACCCCACACGACATTTCTCGGTTGGATTTGAGGATCGAAGCTTATGTAACACGAGACAAAGAACCCGCCAAAGAGGAGGAGCAGAAGTCTGTTCACACAATCTGGTTCAAGCCCGGTCCTGCAGACAAACCGGTTTCTGCAGTTTTAGGCCCCAATAGCTGGCTCTACCTTGGGGCTGTAATCTCCTCCTCCTTCATCATCTTTCTCCTCATCATCGGAATCCTCACCAGATACTACATTTATCCCATTGATCCCGCCATTAATGAAAAGTACAACAACTCATCCGAATCAGCTATGTACATGTTGTTCTTGTGCGTATCAATAGCAATGGCTGCAACCGCGGGCTTTGTTTGGAACAAGAAACAGATTCAGAACACGAACACACCATCGGTCCACAATGGTGAAAGAGAACTAGAAAGCCTCCCACACCAGTCTTTAGCTCAAGTCACTACCACACACTATGGTGAAAGGCCTAATCTCAAGAGTAAGTAAACCCCAACCCCCAACCCCCTTTCCCTCTCTCTCACTAGTGATGCCAATGAGGCACTGAAATGTGTTGAATTTCGTTGCAGATATACTGATGATGGAGTGTAAAGGGGCTGATGTTGGAGTTTTTGTTAGTGGGCCGAGGGCGTTGAGACAGGAAGTCGCGAAAATATGTTCTTCGTCGGGTGTTTCAGACAACCTGCATTTTGAATCCTTCAGCTTCACCTGGTAGCTATTAGGAAGGATCACTAGAACAAGCCATTTGAATGATCTCAAGAAGTGAATTATTGACTTGAATAAATTACAGGGTTTTGTAATTCATACATAATCTATAATAATCTCTGTCAAACAAATAATTGCTAAGTAAGCATATTCTTCTATATGAGCATTGCTCTGATCAATAGTATAAAAGAACTTGGTTTACAAATTGCTTTTCAACAAATGGTCCCAAAACTTCTACCACTACAAATGCATCAGCTTTTGTAACTCATTAGTTTGAATGCTAAAAGTAGAAACTACAGAGAGAGCAGTAACTCATTAGTATGATTTTGCAAAAATGGCAACTTCATCCGCTGAATTGCCAGTCATCAAACACTTTTTTGGCCCCTCAGGCTGCTCGAAAGGGAAGCATCTAATTGTTGCTCCTGTTTCTTCTTTCACTTTTAACTCTTCACTGTCACTGTACAATTACATAAAGCATTACTTGAAGTGTTCAAAAGGAAAATACTATCTGTACTCCCATTATCTACTCCCAACTTTTACTCTCCCAACTCAAAATCTTGATGTACACACTTCTAATGGGGTCCACATAAAAAAAAATAGTTTATCAGTGCCCGCCACAACAGGGAGTAAAAATTAGGAGTACATTTAGTAGAACTCTGTTCAAAATGTGATTGCAAGTTGCAACAGTAGTGAGAAAAAGCATTTTTGCTTTGTTCTGGGTTCCTTGATGAGATTATTTTAGTTTCGTTTTGGGTCTGAGAGTAAAATCATAAAATATGAAATGTAAGAAAAGATTCACCTGGCTGACCAAGGTCCTCTTGCCCATTTTCCCTGAGATATTGCCTCCTTAAGCTCATTGTAAGAGCAAACATCCACAATGTTACTGCACAGACATTTCAACCATCAGCAACTCGGTAAAAACAAAAGACTTGCAAAGGAAAGCACCCCTCTAGTCACATAACATAATTTTCTATATAAAATGTTTTAATAAAATATTTAGTATGAGAAAACATGTTCATATATTTGCAGACAAGCCCAATAAATTTCCTAGTAGGGAAATGTAACCATACAAGCTAAAGAAACACTTCGGAACTTTCCTATGCCTTGCTACAATACAAGTATCGTGACAAGCCAGAAAATTACAAAAAAAAAAAAAAAAAAAAAAAAAAAAAAAAAAAAAAAAAGAAGAAGAAGAAGAAGAACGTGAGTTGGGAATTGAGTACAAGACACTCGAAAGTTTGAAGTCTTGCCATACTGTTGTTTGTAACTACTTCACCATAGCTAGTTAGCTAAGGTAACATAACCTTCATACTTCCATGAAATGACTATGGATACCAGGGGTTGATACCTTACCTATATATATTATGAGCCCAGAAATGAATAAAGAAAATAATAAACTCATTCCCTCATTCAGACCTCCTTAGTAAAACCAAACCTAAAGCATAACAAAATAACAAATTATAATCATTTTCAAAATTATTTGTGATTATCACATGTTTAGAACACAACACATTTCTAGCTTGCCATTGAGTGACCAATAAATGGAAGGGAATTATTTGCCATTCATTTCTTTGGACATCCAAGTTTGTGAAATCCATTCAACAGCACAAGGTTCAAAAGTACTAAAGCATAGGCTGCAACTTAATCAATATAATGAAGTAAGATGAATAGATCAATCACCATGCACTAAATCATTGACATCATTGCAAGATGTAGCCTTGAAAAGCAAAGGTGGGTGTAACTAACCTATCTCGAAACGATACTGCTCTTTCCAAAAGTGAGGAGTGAACCTCAGTCAACTTGTTTTTTACGTAAGGCACTAGAGTTGAAGGTTCCATAGAAATACCAAAAACTTTCCCCTGCTTTCCTGGAACATCTCTTCTAGAGATCACTACACTTCCACTAGAAACATCTCGAGGTCCAATCTCAATTCTCAGAGGAACTCCCTACATAAAAAAGAGCACATGTTAAAGGAATTTGTGGCACACACATCTTCTCATGGTCTACAAGAACAGAATATTCACTCTCCAGCTTTGATAGCTAATACCAATATGTATTAACCTTTTTTTATTGAATATACCATGCCATGCGTGTGTGTATTTCTTTCTTTCCTTTCATTTTTAACAACAAACTTTAGTAATAAGCTAATGCACCTTCATTTCATAGAAATTGAATTTCCATCCCGGTGTCTTCTGTTCAGAATCATCAATCTTAACCTTGACTCCTGCAGCTTGCAGGATTTCTTTAACAGACGATGCAGTTGAAAGTACTCCAGTCTTCTCGTTGTCTTTCTTCCATATTGGGATAATTATGACCTGAAGCATTCAAAGGTTAAAGTTAAATTTCACATCATCAGCTGCCTATTGTTAACAATGAAACATAATATAAAATATATGATTTACCATTTTAAAAGACCCACGAGTACCTGTATTGGTGCTAACCATGGAGGAAGCAGTAACCCAGCATCATCCCCATGTGTCATGATAATACCACCCACAAACCGAGTGCTAATTGCCCATGATGTCTGCCATACATGTTGCCTAAGCCCATTTTCATCTGTGAACTACAGAAGGATATAAAAGTATAATGTAACAAGACTCCAGATTAGAAAAACAAAAGTGTATTCAAGTTATGCTAAGCAGGGGGGGGCAGCAGTAAAAATTAGGAAGCAAAAATTTAAAAAATAAATAAAATAATACTTTGGTAGTTCTAGGAGAAAGTAAAAATAATAAATTGAGGTTCTTTAAAAGTTCATCGTATTAAAGAATCAAAATAGCAAATTATATTACTAGTCCTTTAATATTATTGCTTTTGGTGTGAAAACCATTTTCTGGATGTTCCTCAATCCTGAGGCCAGGGGCAATGCTACATAGGAACAAGTTGGACCCCACTCAATTCTTCAGTCTTGCTTATATATTATGGCTGCATTTTAATTAATTATGACATTTTTTAAAATTTATAAATTGACCTCAGTGAAATTTTTCAAACAAATTTTCAATAAATTATATTCTGCATAAATTTGATTGTTAAATAGTTGTATTTAAAACTAAGTAACTTGGACCAATACTAGTATTCCAATTAATTTGACCCCTCTGAACAAGATATGTGGCCACTGCTAGAGGCTGTGCTACATCACAAGAGAATGTATGACTGTACCACATCCCTGAACTCATAGACCAGTTTCAAATTACCAAGCTTAATGGTAATATATCCACTAGTACCATATCCCAAAAATATGTCCTATATATTATACCATCATAACTTGGGGTGTCTGTAAAATTTTCCAGTAAAATTAACAGACCTGAGTCCCAAATGCTCGAGAAAAATTCTGACCAAGGTTGTGGCTTGTTCCTGCCTGCAAAGCCTTCTTGTCACCCATCATTGCTTCAATTGTGTAGGTCTTGGAAGCGCCAGCAAAAGTTTCCATTCTTGATTTTCGACCTGCAATAACAGGTATTGCAGCTTGCTCATAAGCAAATTTTGTATAGACATCAATCATCTGCATTGCCTGTGGTTCAGCAGCGCAATTTGTCAAGTGAAAATAGGAATGCCAAGTAAAAATTAAGAACACCATGGAAATTTAAAACATGAAATGAAACCTCTTTTTCTGCTTCATCTGCTGTGGCATGGGCAGTATGACCCTCCTGCCAGAGAAATTCTAGTGTTCTGATGAATGGTTTGGTCCGCATCTCCCATCTTGTGACATTTGCCCACTAAAGCATGTTACGCAAAGCTAATGAGGACCAGCAAGCAAAAACCAAGGTGAAGGTAACAATAAATGTTGAATGAGAGAAACCTGGTTGATCATGAGAGGAAGATCACGGTAACTATGAATCCACTGAGTGAACATGTGATTCACAATAGTTTCACTTGTAGGTCGAACCTGTCAGAACCTCAAGAAAGTGCACAATCAAACCCAATACTCAGGTCATATACTAAAGATTAAAATTTTAGTTCATGATTATGGAATGACTCAGCTCTCACAGAAGCTACAACCCAGAAGTAAAAAGAGCAGGCATGCTTACCACAAGCTTTTCTTCAAGTTCTTTCCCACCTCCAATGGTTACAAGAGCTAATTCAGGACTAAAACCCTCAACATGGCTTGCTTCTTTCTCAATGAAGGAATATGGTATAAACTGCAAGTGTAATCAGACCAATCATGCAACTGAAACTACAACCAGAATCAAATAACGGGTACAGGAGACCAAGCATAACAGATCGATATCAACATCCAAGCTCAGTTGCTGGAATATGAATCCTCACACATTAGCAAATTCCAACACCTATCCTGAAGCTAACTAGTTCAGGCTATGTGCAACCCCATATGAACATTGCCCCTAAATAGCATCATAACCAATCAATGATATCTTGAAATGTATAAATTTTGCTATAATCCGTATACATTTCATGGAATTTCTTCATTTCACAATAATCAATCCGCATTTGAAGATAGCATAAATGAAACAAAATTACCTAGAGAGCATTCTGCTCAACTGTTACTCTACCTGTGGAAAATACATATTACTATGTCCCGTTTCCTTAAACTTCACATTTAAGTAATCCTGCATTATTGAACAAAGAAGAAAGCTAATCAGCTTAAACAAACAGTACAACTTAGAATTTATTTATTCATTTTAAATAAAGAAAAGATTGGCAAAAATAGTGAGTTCAAAAGAACGTAAGATAGTACCTGAATAGCCTCCCAGATAGCGTAACCGTAGGGCCGGATAACCATAGTGCCCCGAACCGGGCCGTAATCAGCGAGCTCCGCATTGGCAATGACGTCTAAATACCAGGCGTTGAAGTCCTCGGACCTGGGTGTTATAACTCGGTCCTTTTCCTTATCCTGGACTCGAGGCTTCTGGTCGGTGCTCTGTGCGGAGGAGAGGCGGCGTAGGGGCTGCCGGAAGTGAGGCGAGCGACGGGGAAGTAACGGCGAATACCTGGCAGCGGCGGCGGAGGATGAGGAAGTGAAGATTGAAGTAAGAGCGGGTAGTCTCAGAGCCCCCATTGATGGTTACTTCGAGCTCGAGGGATGAGGTTCTCACCTCTTAGACGATGAGATGAAGTTGGGGGGTCAAAAGCGAATGTTTAAGAAAGAATTGGGGTCAGGTACTTCTAAATTCTAAACTGGCCCTATACTTTTTGAAATTACTAATTTCCTCATATACCTATTATTTGTTTCATTTAAGGACATAGGTTAACACAACTTGTATAGTTGTATAAAAATTGTGAGTAATTTTTTTGATACAGCACTATAGTATCTATGTTCAGTTATGACTATCCAGTCAAGTCTCATTCCCATTCCAACCCATTTAACAAAGTATCTTTCAATACTAGAGTGTACAATTACCTTCTTCCCTTCCTCAATTTATCCACGCTTAAACAGAGGACTAGAGGAGAGAGAAGAAGGTAGTCTCAACACGCAGAGTACTATCAACTTATCCACGCTTACACAGAGGACGAGTACTACTTTCTTTCTTTCAAAAGGTAGTCCTCAATCTATTTTATTCTCTAAGGTAGTCAATTTATTATTCTTCCTAGTTCCTTCACCCATAAATAGACATGGAAGTGGCAACAACGAGCAAGAGGCAACATGCAATTAGTGAAGGTACATGCAATTAGTGGAGGTGTATGACGACAACCGACAAACTACGGAAAAAATTAGTGTAGTTGTTTTTCGGTGAACTGTAATATTCCGAACGAGCACTCGAAGGGTTTTATCAATCTTCTCAAGAGTTTTGCAAGGGTGCAACCACTTAAAATCAAATAATCTCAAGGCTTAGCCTCTTTTTCACCCAAAAAAAAATAATAATAAATGCAACACTTCCCAATCTCGTAAATGGGATTACAAACCAAGAATCAAGTGGTGAGTTAACAATAAGCACATACAACACCAATTATAACAATTCATCACAAATGCTAATATGCATTATCATAACAAATCATGATACAATATGCACACATTAGGGGTGGTAAAAAGATATACCCCATTGAAGTCTTGATGGTTAAAAAGGAATTGAAAACAAAATCTTCCCCACATACCACTATCAGGAAAACCACTTTCTACAACAAAATATTCCATCCCACATACCAATCTAATAGGAAAAACACTATCCATCATTACACAAATGGATACATTTTGGGGTTCCTAACCCTCAGTAAGCCTTTTATATTATAGTAGATATATACATATTTCTGGCTAATGTAAGGAAGTAGGGAAGAAGAAAAGAGAAGCCCCTCAACAAGCGTTAGATTTAAAACAGCAGCTAATATACTAGGCATCAGGTTTTTGCTTCTTGGGCATCCTATAACCCCCAACAACACAAGCATGGTCTCGCTCAAATGGTTCAAGAGTGACCTGTTCACTCGGCTTGAATTGCTCTTGTTTGCAGCTTCTTGACCTCTTGTGCAAATACTGCTTCAGCCGGCACAGTTGAATCAATGCAGTTTGCCTAATAAAACAAGCCATAGAATCATACGCTAAATAAATTCAATGCAACTGCGGCATAGACGCGTCTATAACCCCAAAGTATGGGTCATTTGCTCAATTTGGAACAATATAAGATGATGATTCGCTAGAGAAACAAACCTTGATGGATATGACAAAATGACCTTCTGTTTTCAAAAAGTAGGAGGCATTCAGTGCTAAAATCCTTGCCTATACATAACATAACACAACATGAAAAACCTCCAATTGGAGCTCTTCTACCAGATTATATGAATTTTAAGAGGGGAAAATAATAATACTCAGCTAAATAAAATAAATATACAAATGTAAAAAGTAATGTTCCTTTATTACACAACTTAAAACAATAAGTAGTTCAAAATTCAGTACAGTCTAGCACAATGACAAGTGAAGAAACCTTTATCAAATTTCTACCCAGTGGAATGGCAAATTAGGGTCAAACTATGTAAAACTGAAAATAGAAATTGTAGGTAAAAATAAAAATAAAGACTAATACTAAAGAAGAAGAATCTCAAAAGGCAAAATAAGATACATATGCATGCAGTTATAAATCAACATAAGAGAGGTGAATCTAGCTCGAATTTACTAACAAAATAAGAACAAGGATCATCAAACAAAAGGAAAAATCAAAAACAAAATCCTTCAAAAAGGAATCAATCAATTTTTTTAAATTGATGCATCAGTAACTCGGTTTTTGCATCACCCATGATGTCTTGAAGGGGAATCCGAGTAACTCATCATTTGCTTATCCAAGTCAAGAAACCTCTATCAAATTTCTACCTAGTATAATGGCAAATTAGGACCAAACCATGTAAAACTGAAAATATAAATTGTAGGTAAAAAAAATGACTAGTACTAAAGAAGAAGAATCTCAAAAGGCAAAATAAGATACATATGCATGCAGTTATAAATCAACATAAGAGGGTTGAATCTAGCTCGAATGTACTTATGTACTAACAAAATGAGAACAAGGATCATCAAACAAAAGTAAAAATCAAAAACAAAATCATTCGAAAGGAATAAATCAATAGTTTTTTTTTTTTTAACTCAATGCATCAGTAACTCGGTTTTTGCATCACCCATGATGTCTTGAAGGGGAATCCGAGTAACTCATCATTTGCTTATCCAAGTCAAGAAACCTTTATCAAATTTCTACCCAGTAGAATGGCAAATTAGGATCAAAACATGTAAAACTGAAAATAGAAATTGTAGGTACAAAAAACGACTAGTACTAAAGAAGAAGAATCTCAAAAGGCAAAATAAGATACATATGCATGCAGTTATAAATCAACATAAGAGAGTTGAATCTAGCTCGAATGTACTAACAAAATAAGAACAAGGATCATCAAACAAAAGGAAAAATTAAAAGCAAAATCCTTCATAAGGAATCAATAAATAGTTTTTTTTTTTTTTTAAATCGATGCATCAGTAACTCGGTTTTTGCATCACACATGATGTCTTGAAGGGGAATCCAAGTAACTCATCATTTGCTTATCCAAGTGAAACGTATAGAATGATTACATGCACATAAATGAATGCCAATATGTGAAGAAAGTAAGCAGGCACTGAAAGCCCAAAAATGATGATAGAATCCTATTTCAGGGTTGAGAGTCATGAAAAACCTGATCAGGTTGAGCAACATCGGAAAATATCACGTCAACCATACCAACCAACATCCTGTATTTTGCAGGATGTCTGGCATCTTCAATGATGGGTATAACATTAGTACGCTTTTTTGCCATATTAACCAAATCTCTACCACTTCTGTGAGAAAACTCCACAGCATATACAACCCCAGTCTACAACCAAAATTTGTAGAAAGAAATGATGCAATCAGTACATGGTCCAACACAATATTGAATAAAGAACTATCACATGACTTTGCACATTAAAACTTACAGGACCAACAATGTCAGAAACATGAGAGACTGTTGTTCCTGAAGCAGCTCCAAGATAGAGGACACGTGCACCTGGTTTCTGGTAACAAATTATGATTAATTTGTCAAAAGATTCATACATCATTAACAAAGTTTAAAATTTAAGAAAACTAAAATAGCACTATGAAAAGAACTTACAATCCAAATTTCATCAACACCTCCAAGAATAGCAGCCGCCAACTTGGAACGGAAAGGATTCCAAACTCTGTACTCAACCTTGGTTCCATCTTCATTCTATGTTAAAAGAGCATGTTTTAAAATTGGTCAAAACTATTGCAAATTGAAATAACCCATACCAAATGTGAACAAAAAGACAAGAAACAAAAGCCTAGATAATGAAAAAAGATTTGAATACGGAAGAGTGACTAATCTAACTCAAACACAGCAGGTGGCAGAGAAGTTAAAAGAAATCCTATTATAAGATTTATAACTTAATTTCAATATACAATATATAAGTTTCAATTGAAAGACTACAACAGAAAATCTTCACTGGTTTTCAAGAAAAGAAAGTTATATCATTGCTTAATAAATCAAGCAAGTTTCATACAAAAATCAGTAAAACATTGCACACTTTGGTTGTACCCAAGACAATCATTAAAGCAGATAAATAGTAAGGACATCACATATACATATCAGTATAAGAATAACATAGCATATGGAAAACTTAAACCATTAGAGAAATAGAAATTCTGTAAAAGCTCCTTGCACTCCAAAATAAAAGCTCAATAATCCAATATCCCATTCGTTTCAGATATATCGTCTAAAGATTAAAGAAACAACATTGATACAACTTAGAAAGGCCAGGAACAATAGAAGAACATCTATTGCGAAAAAAATAAATAAATAAATAAAGATCAGTATTTTAAGAAAAAAAAAAAAAGTGTTCTACCTGAACAGCAATTCTCTTCTCGTTGTATACAGATTCACCAGGGACCATATTCTTAGTTACAAGAGCATCCTCTTTACCCTTAGCAATGAACACTCCCTCATGCCTATGAGGCTCCACGACAACCTTACTACCACCCTTCATTCCTCCACGTCCCCTCCCTCCACCTCTTCCGCCGCCTCTTCCTCCACCACGCTTCATGGCACTCCCACCACCTCTTCCTCCGCCGGGCCCTCCTCTACCTCCTCTTCCACCTCTCCCTCCATCTCATCTGCCACCCCTAAATCCGCCGCCGCCCCCTCCACGACCTGCAAAAACGGACAACCAAATAAGATATGCAAACAAGTTAAACCCAACCTAATTTACCATTCGGATTGATGTATACCTCTGGCAACCATAGCTGCTGAGCTACTGTGTAAGTGTGTTATTCACTTATTCTATTATATATTCAGGAGAGGCATGAAACAGAGTATATAATTTAGGGTTTAGGGTTTAATTGTTGTCGGGTTGTGACATTCAGCCCATTTAGCCCAAAACCAATTGTTATACGGTAGACCGTGGTAAAGAAATGCAGTCATCTTTTACGTAAAAAGAAACATAAACAATGAAATTAAATAATATGTCTCATATATTGAATATACATTGTCAAATGAAAATGTAGTTGAATTAAAATGATACTTTAGTGTGTAAAACTGTAGTGTGTATAAAACGAAACTGAATAACAAGTCTCGCATATTGAGTGTATATTGTTAAATGAAACTGTAGTTAAATCAAAATGATACCTTAATTGTGCTATAATGAAATTATTGTGTATATAAAATGAAATTGAACAATATGTTTCGCATATTTGAGTGTATATTGTCCAATAAAATCATAATTGAATTAGAATTATACTTTAGTTATGTTTTAATAAAACTACAATGTGTATATTGAGTGTATATTGTCAAATGAAAATATAGTTGAATCAAAATACTCTCTCCATCCACAATGCACATAATGGACCAAAAATTCACAATATAATTTTAAGAGATTAAGTTTGGTTCATGTAATTAATTTTGAAGGAATATGAATGTTATTCCATATGGAATGAAATAGATAAGGAATAAAATATACTCCGTAAATTATATTCCATTATTTGGTTCAATAAGGGAGTTAATTGTGGTTCCTCTACCAGATTGTGGAGCTGTAGTAAGGATGTACAGATTAAGAGTGTCAGTGAGTCAAGGGTCGGACAATACATTCATACTTTTACCGTTGCTGATTCTACGAACACACCCATGGGATAGTACATGTTGTGCAGACAGGATAGACCTCCAGCAGAAGTTGGGATTTGAGCCAAGTTGCGCTTTAAAAACTAAAGAAGGAGCCATTCGAAAAATACATGGCTTTCATCAATCGCGCCACACCCGATCTTTCGTTGCTCATAAATCTCCAACCTTGTTGGGCCAATATAGCAATGTTAAACATATGAAGCTTCTTAAATCTGAGCCCCCCATTGTATTTGGGTGAGCTTAGTCTGTCCCAACTCAACCAGCGCATTCCTCCACCACCTGTGGACTTTTACTTCCCCACCAGTATTTATACATAATCTTCTCAAGTCTCTCACAGAAAATTAAAGGGAGATGGTATAGGCTCATAGTGAATGTGGGTAGTGCTTGTGCCACGCTTTTTAGCATAATTTCTTTACCTACTCTAGACAACAATTTTTTGCCCCAACCCCCCTCCTTTTGCCTAATTCAGGGACTTATGAAAGAAAATGCCTCATTTTTATTCATTCCAACTCCTATGGGGAACCCATATATTTGGCAATATCAGGTGCCAAATGAACTCCAAGAATAGTTGTGATGGCCTGCTGAATGCTGATCAGCCTCTTTAGTATTACAACTAAACATGATGCAAGATTTAGAATAATTGTCCAATTGACCAGATACGTTCTCGTAAGAATTAATGCATTCCTTTACCTTCTTAGTCTCCCTTGTTGCCTTGAAAAATAATAAGCTATCGTCAGAGAAAAAAAAAAAAGAAAAAAAAAAAGATGAGAAATATTGGGCGCTCCCCTACTTATCTTGTAGGCGGACCAATTACCCCTCCTTGATTGCACTTTTTATCAGGTAAGACAAGCTTTCGACGCGGATAAATTTTAGTGATATCATATTATTCAACTAGTAACTTACCCGTGCGATGCACGGTAAAAAATTTTATAAGTATTTAAGTTATGTTTGTTATATTATGAAATAACTAATTTATTGGGGATATACTATAAACTAAAACATACTCAATAAATATATAAAGCATAAAAAGCATAATAAATATATACCTAGTAGTCTAATGACACTAAGTTGCTCCCTTATAAGGGAGGTTGTGAGATTGAACTTCAGTGGAGGCGATATTAGCTCTTTGTTCTTCAATATACACTCATAATTTTAATACCATATATAGATATGTATGGACATACATATAGATAATAGATATATAAAAGGCAAATTATTGTGTGGACCATGGTCCACAAAATGTTATGTGAACCATAACAAAAAAGTACATTTTTAATATACTAAATGTACATTATTTTTGTACTGTATGTACATTATACAATATAATATACACTCGGTACAAAAAATAATGTACATCTTCTGAATACAATATACATTATTTTTATACTGAATGTACATTATTTTACAGTATACAAAATATGGTCCACACAACTATTTTATACTTGTGTGGACCATCAATAATTATTGGATATAACTATATTGGGCTCGATTTTTTGGAGCAATTAATGAGTCCAACATTATCAAATATGATGGCCCATATTTCAATCCAAATTGAGAGTCCACGCAGTTGACCCGGCCCACCTCTATATACTCACTAAGACACACTGACATCTCCACTACACTCACAAGTCACAACTACCTCTCTGCTCTCATCTCTTAGCTAGGTTTTCTTCACTTCTCACATTTTGGGGATCTTTGTTTGAACAATGCAATCTCACCAAAAAAAAAAAAAAAAAAAAAAAAATCCAGGCATTGATTCATCTTTGTATGCATATCTTCGTGATAGCATTTCTACTTCCTTCACAGTTGACTTCTCCGACACATTTATGGGTCGGAGATGTCCGATTTGAAGCTATATCCCGCACAGATATGTAATTTATTTACCCGATTTTGAATACCGATCGTTGTTCATTTCCTTTTTTTTTTTAAATTTCGAAATTGCGTGATCCTAGCTGTTTGAACCTAGCTTCACTGTTTGGTAGATTTTCTTCATTTTGACTTCAATTTCGCGATACACACATCTACGATTCATAAAGTGTATGTATCTGTAAGTTGGAAGACATGCATGTCAGATCTAAGTACAGATCTGGGTGTTTGGACTGCTGCTTCGTTCTCCTCAGAACGCATACGGAGTGAAGTGTGGAAGATCTACGAAAAGGGTAGTGTGGTTTAGGATTTTTTATTTAGTGATTTCCGATAAGAATTTAGGATAAATATTGAATCGATTTTAAATTTCTTGATTTCTAATTTCTAATTTCTGCAGATTTTCTAATCGGATGACTAATTCCATTCTGTATTTATATTTTGTAATCTAATTTATTTAACAGGTAATAAAGATGGAATTGGATAACACTGTTTCTAAATTGCAAAATTAATGAATAATGCAAATTGTAAGATTAGAGGTGAGTACATTGGTAGTTTGTAAGTCATTAGATTTCCATGTGTTTGATTGGATGTCAAATTATTATAATTAACTTTATTTATTACAGGAATCACAACTCTGGACATTCTCTAATCTGGACGGGTGGAAATGCAATAGTATGGCAATGGCCCGTAAAATATTTATTGGAAGGTTCGTATTCTTTTTTTTTTTTTTTTTTTTTTTTAATTCTGACTTTTTTTTAAATATAGTATATATGTGAGATATTTGTTTTTGACGTCTAATGTATGTTAGTTGTAATTTTGGATAATTATTTTATTTTTTATGTCCAAATTGATGTTTCTAATTGAGCTATATGTTTGATTGCTGGTTTTTTGCATTTGTTTGCATGTTCTTTGCTTGCTTGTTTATATTCGCCAAAAAATAGAATAGAATTACATATTCTAAAGATGCTAAAATTGAAGTAGTTAAAACTTACATACAACTTAGAAATTACAGTGTATTGGAAATTAAATTGAATTACAGATTCTAAAGATGCTATGCAAAGATATAGTTTTCCATAATGAGAATTAGCTTTCCAGACCATCTCTGCATAGCATCTTTATGCAAAGATGCTCTGTACCTTCATAACCTATGTTTAATTTCCATAATGAGAATTAGCTTTCCAGACCTTGAACTTGTAAAAAATCAATTTAAAAGATAATAGTTAATACTTTGAAAAAACTCCAATTATTAGACAATTTAGCAAACCTTTTAACATTTGAAGCTGCTAACAATTGACTGAGGCTAGGGTGATTGACAGATATCAATAAATAGGAAAAAAAATAGAGAATGAACAGTAAAAAGCAGATTATTCACTTTCTTAGAAGACTTCTTAGATGAGGAAAACACATCTAAAAGACAACGGGTGACAACTGTAGTAACAATCTCTTCCACATCCTTAAAAGAACCTATTAAGCCGATAGGTCCCTAAGCTTCATCTTAAATAAAGAACTGCGGTTGATCCAGAAAAAAAAATACAAAAGTTAATATATAAGAAATCCTTAAATATGTCCAGCTTGATTTCTTCAATGTTTTGGTCTTGTTTTTTAAGGAATACCCAAAGTTATGTTGGAAAAATAGCATTAAAATGATATTTTGAGTGATTATTTTGTGGTACAAATATATGTGGGATCCACTTCCGATTTGGGTCGGGTCAAGGTGGATTCGGGTTCTTCGTAGTGAGACGAAGAATTTGATAGAATGTACGCTCAAAATGGGTAATAGGTGAATGAGAAATTGATTCTCAAAGTGAACTTATTTTGAGAGAAGTCAAAATCTTAAGATAGTTGCTAATTAAATTAGTAATTATTGTGATTTGTTGTACCCGAAATGTACAAGGAATAAGCTTAATATGATTTAGCTTTGGAATTGGGACGAAAGTTATGCAATGACTTTTGCATGGACGAAAGTTGCATGAAAATGTAATTTAGCAATGATAGCATTGAAAGGTTTAAAATAAATCTTTTAATGCATGGACGAAAGTTGCTACATATAATTAAGCATTGAAAGTGTAATTAGTGAATTGAATATGAGCTATCCTTTCGGGCTCCTTTTGAGCTCCTTTCGTGTGAGCTACTTTCGTGCTGAGCACGAGTCAATGCTATATGCATTGATTCGTGCTGCACCGTTTCGGTGCTTGCGGACCACTCGGGTGTGGTTTTCGGTCCCAATTCGTTAACCTTTCGGGTTTGTACGGACTTCTCGGTCACTCAGATATTTGAAACGGGACGTTATGGTCGGTACGAATTAATCGGATATTAAGTTCGTGACCGTTGATATTATTTCGATAATAAGTACGACCGTTTCAAACGTTATAATTCAATTTTTAAATTGAATTTATGTTGGTTAATGTGTCATAATAATGCTATTAAGTACCAACCTCCTATATAAGAGTGTAGTGGGAGTAGAGGCTTTTCACCTGCATAGTGAGAGACAACTAGTGAGGGAAGAACACGAGAGTACAAAACACACAAAGCTAAGCACTTTTTCTTCTCATAAATTCTGCTCCTACTCTATTCTTGAAGCTGTGTTTTGCCCGTGCTCTTGTTCGCCGGGTTCGTTCGTTTGGGTGCTCAAACGTCGAACCGTTGTACGTTTTATCCTGGGAAACCTAGGCCACAACGCTCCTAGCACTTTGGGGAGGTGGCAAATAAGGTTTTAAGGAAAGACAGGCACCTTGCCTAACTCGTACATTTCCTTCTTCTTCTCCTTCTTTCTTGTTTTAGGATTATGCTCTAAGCAAAAATCCGTTCTTTCTTGTTGATTTGGAGTTATAATCTAAGGATTATAAGTTCCTTTTGGTTGATATATATTGTTATATCTTTCTCGTAGATATATACGTATATATAACCTTTGGATCCGTTTTATATATATATTTGTGTGTATATATATATATATTTCGGATATATATATCCAATAATATTTTATATATATTTCGTGTGTATATATATAAATATTATTTTAAGGGATATTAAATCGATTGTGGTTCATTATCTCCAACAAGTTAATCATGCCACTAAAAGCTCATGATCGAAGTGCTAATATAACATACAAAGTTTCTAGAGTTTAAATACGAGAAGAGGTGCCAAAATCCTTTTTCATCACACAGTCCATACTAATATAGTTTTCCTATTTTCGATCCAGTCTCTTTCACTTTCTTGGACTCCTACGCAAGAACCTCTTCACATGTCTATCAGTAACCCCTAAAGATTTGGTCAATTTAGGAGTAGTTATTAGACTGTCAGCTTCACACTTAGAAAACCCTAAATTGAAAACCACCCATGTAACTCCTACGCAAGAACCTCTTCGCATGTCTATCAGTAACCCCTAAAGATTTGATCAATTTAGGAGTAGTTATTAGACTGTCAGCTTCACACTTAGAAAACCCTAAATTGAAAACCACCCATGTAACTACATATTGATTTTTCATTAAAACCATGATTTTATCACACAAAAATGTTGGTTGCTAAAATTTTACCTCATCAAAGTCATCATCTCCCTCATTTGGCTGCACTTCAGAAGTCAAGCGCTTGTCCTGGGCATTTAGGAGTTATGGACAATGTTGAGCCACCAAGTTCTGGTCATTCTATATTCTCTATACAGGGAATGCATTATGAAGGTTCACGAACTGCTCTTTCCTTGCTGCAATTCTGAATACCATAGACATCCCAACCAATGCCATGATCTCTGATGGCCTTATTATTTCTCTAAAAGTTAAACCAAAGAAGGAGCATGTATAATAGTGCCATATTGATAAGCAGTTTACATATCCTACATTATTAATTTTTGTATATACTGACCATTAAAAACAATATTTATGCAGAATAATGTAGGGAATGACATGTACCTCTTCCTCATAGAAGAGGACTATTAGAGAAACCTTTCATTTCCACCTCTTGTTTTTGAAGGTTGACAAATCACGAGCAAGAAAGTACAAACCCAATCCGGAAGAGAATTCTGAACTTCAAAGGAATCAAAGGAATTTCTGTATTTGCTATTGTTTGTTTTCGCTAATTAGCTCTATATTATATAGGCATTACTTGGTAGATGGTGTAAGAGTTCTTTACGTACATTAATTCCTAGAATATTAAACGGTGTTTCGATTCTCGAATCGATACGATCGATTCGAATTTTTAAACAGCAGCCCTAGATTAAACAAACGTGTTGCGGCAATTAATACTCTTCCCTTTCACATAAGCAGTGGCGTAAAATATCTCAATACTACCATTTTTTAAATTAATTTTGGACGATAATTTAATAGCATTGGCAGAACCAATGCTTGGACGAAATTAAATGCAACCCATTTATTTTTCCTTCTCTTTTCACCCGACCATACCGCTTTATTATAATTAAGATAGCTTAGTTAATTTTAGTGTAAAGTTGAAATGAAATTTTCATTGCTACAATTGCACAATTAGATATTGCAATTTTATTATTTTTTATCGCATAATTTGGAGATAGTTAGTATTAAAGCTTTAAATTAACTAGTTTAACTCATACCATATACGCATATGGTCTCTCTTTTGCTTCACAAGGAGAAAACTTGGTATCTATCAGACACTCTTTGTAACAAAAGCTCATATGGTCTCTCTTTTGCTTCACAATGAGAAAACTTGGTATCTAACAGACACCCTTTCTAACAAAAGCTCATAGAGTAGCGGATGCACCAATCTAAAATAAGGAGTTTTGAAGATAAATGGACTGCAGCATAATAACATTGAGAAAGTGACAAAGTAAGCAAATGCAAAATGTAATAAGATGTGCTTTTCTTAGCACCAACATACTACCCTACCAATCAGAATTCAGAGATAACCACCCAAAAGTTCAGCAGTAGTTGGATTTGATGGTGAAATTGACGTCCTCCCCGATCCAGTCGATCATACACGGTGATGATATTGGCGACATTGGTAACTTGCACACACGTGGAGTGGACGACATTAGCGACATTGGTGACATTGCCACCTCTTCAATTTCTATGAGCTTCAATGGAGTCCGCAACTGTGTCAAAGAACAGTGTAAAAATGCTTACAAATGATGAAAGAGAGATCAATGGTGAAGAAAATTAAAATGGAAATTGAACAAAAAAACGTAAACTGACCTTCTTTGGTTGCAGTGAGGGTGGAGGATAAGCACGCGGAGTAAGTAACAATGGCATTGATGAAACTGTCGTGGAAACAATTAGAAACATATCAGCTTTTTTTTTTTTATAGCAATAATAAAACGTAATAAATGAAATTATCTAGTTCTTTACCATTTGAAAGTCCAACTTCCTTATGAAAACAATCCATGCCCATAACCTTCCTTTGTTCTTTGATGCACTCCTGATGATTGTGCAGATATCCCTCCTCCACAGGGTCGACACTAATTTTTTCTCGATAACCCTTTTTAGGTACCTGCTGATGCACAGATAGCTTGCTCGAGTTCGTCAGGTCTCCGAGTGCTGTCCTACCACCGACTTGCTTCTTGGCCCGGGAGGTAGTACTCAATTTGCCCCCAGTGCCGAACTTTGTATTCAGATCATCAGCCCCAATTGGAATTTTTGAAGAGTTGGTTTTCTTGGATGCCTGAAGAGCAGTAGGTTTTGTAGAGTTTGATATATCATTGAGCGCTCTTCTGGTGCCAAGCCTTCCTTTGGTTTGCGCCTTGGAGACATTATTAGTGTTCATCCCAAAGGCAGTTCCTGTGGGAACCAGAAAATTTAGGTAAATTATAGGAATGTATGTATGGGACCAGAAATTTCTATAAATTTGAAGCTTTAGATACCATCACAGCCAAAGCTAATATTCTGATCCTGTATCAGTTGACTAGCGGGGGTTGCCATGGGCTGTTCTGTTTCCAGAAAGCAAACGAAAAAATCCTGCAATCCATTTTATTTCCTCAACCAATCAGTACACAATTAACACAACAAAAATAAAATATATGATGCAGCTTGGACACAACAAGATAAAGTTGTTGACGAAATCGTGCGAGCTTGCTACTACTACTGTGTTCAAGAGAATCATAACCATGTAGATTACCGCAATGCTACTGACTCTATTACATTGTAGTATCTGTTCAAACATACTTTCTCAACCTAATGACGCACAAGGAGTCAACAACGCCTCTACTGAGGCTTGATCTCATAACCTCCCACATGGGAGAGGTCACTACATGCCATCTGAACACAAAGTGCTTGGCAAAATAGATGACCCTTAAGAGGTCAGGCACATCTATGACTATATAGATAAACTAGGAATTCACCAAGCTTATTACACCAGTGTTCTAATTTATAATATCCACATTAACACAGCCCAACAAGTAAACTAATGCAAAACATCTTAGCAAACAACAATATTCACAGAATTAAATATCCCCATGTGCAAAATGCAAATTGAACATAAGGTTTCTAGTTCTCTACCATTTGAAAGAGTAGTTTTTCTCTAGTTTAATCTCACCCAACAGGCTTTCCTCCTCTCACTAAGTTACAAGATTCATCAGGTTCTTAAAAAAAGGTGACACTATCACACCAACACTGGCATATAGCTATGTCAAAATATGAAGCAAAGAACATCCATACAACTTTAAAATACTAGTCTAGAAATAAAATTTTGAACAAATAACAGAATGGTGTGCTTCTTGAGATCACAACAAGACTATTTGATTTCTCTGATTTTCTTCTTCTTCAATATTCAATTACTACATTCAATCTCGATAGAGCAAATTTGTAAAGCCGAGATAAATAAACACCATACCGACAAAAAGAGCACTCAAAAAAAAAAAAAAAATCTAATGCACAATCTGTAATTCTTTCTTGAAGCATAAACAAAAGTCAAAATCCGAGAACAGAGAAAATGGAGAAAAAAGAAAACCCTCATCTTTAAAAAAGAATGACAAAAACAATATTGCATCGAAACGTACCAATCGAGTGAATCTCCGGCTTTGATTCTTCTTTGAATTTCCGGCTCCTTGAGAATTGATTCGAGAGTATTCTTATCCTTCTTTGAATTTCCGGCTCTTCGAGAATTGATTTAGAAGAAATTGGTTTTCGGATTTCAATTGCAACGGTTCTGAAATCGCCCATGTGGCTCGTGGTGGGCATATATACAAGAGAGTTGCAACGGTCATATTTTACTCGGGTTACCCGTTGCCCTTGCCTGTGGCTTTATTTATGAAAGTGATAAATACGGGAGAAATTAGGGGTGGCGTAATTATTTTTTTTTTTTTTTAGGGGTGGCGTAATTTAGATTACCTGAATTAACACTTAAATTAGAACTACATTTAAAATTTTGGGTGAATCCGAATAGGTATCAATTCAAATATTTTTAATTATGATATATTTAAATGTAAATTCAATTTAAATATTAAGTATTAAAATTTTATTTATATCTGATCCAAAATCCAAACTAACCCAAAATTTTATTATAAATGAAAAAATATAAATTATATATTGACTATTAAATATATTTCAAAATTAATACTATATTAATTTTAAAACTCTTTCCGGGCATTTCCAATCCTTCCCCCCTATTCTTCTCATTTTGTGGACACATCATTATATAATATCCTATTATATTTCCTTTTCAATTCTTATCTCTTTTTCTTGTCAAAAGTGATGAATTTGTCGATACACCAAAAATTATATATATATATATATATATATATATATATATATATATATATATACACTAATAAGAGTCCGAGAGAGTCAGACCTATAATGGGTAGAAAAAACGGGCGGTCAAAATTTTTGATCAAATGAATGCCTCAAATTGATCAGATTTTAATTTTTCCTTTAGATTTCCTAATTTATCCTTAATGAATATGATTATCCGTTAATTTTTTCTTTAAATATTATTTTTTTTGTTAATTTCATTTAGTTTACCGGATTTCAATAAGAAAGGTCTTAGGTTCAAACCTCTCATATAAGAATGCAACTTAGTGCCATTGGACAACAAGGTCCTTGGCAAAATTTAGTTAATTTGAATAAACTGAATGATCAAAAGTGATTAAATTAATAATTAATAATAAAAGAATATAATATTATTTAATCAAGAGATTACAAATGAAATCAATCATTGTTTAAAAGGTATTGTATGAAATTGGGTTCTATGTTCGAACTATATTGATATGTATATGTATTATTAAGTGTATAATTAGATTTACACATGCATTGCGCGAATGATTTAATGTCCAATGTTTATATTTATATATAAGTAATTCAAAGTATATCAATGCAAGTTTATATAGTAGTAGTTCATTATAGTTGACATTAAAATTAATGATTAATTTGCATTTTTCTAAAAAAATTTATCTAAATACTTATGGTAGTTGGTATGATATTAGGTAGTAAATACTACTTTTGGTTAGAATTACTCTAAGTTTATTTAATTCACGTACTTTTGGATATGTTTGTCATTGTCTTTGTCTTAATTGCTTGTCAGCTTGTTTTTTGTTGGTATTGTCTCATGTAAAATTGTGTTACTACTACCAGTTTGCAAATAGAATATATTTGGTCTAATTAATTTTGTTACATTAACGAAATAGATGCATGGAAGTTGATTCTCTTATACTAATATTTATAAAATTGACCCGTCATTTTTTTTAGTTATTGAGCATCCTAGATGTATAGATCAAATTAGTCCATACTTATCACGAGAAACCTAATTCACATTTGATCACGATTATGTATATGTGTATATATATATATATATATATATATATATATATATATATATATATATATATACACACACACACACACACACGCACATACATACATGTATGGAACTTTAATGATGTAAGAAGAATTTTGTCCGATAAAAAAATGATAGTACAATATTTATAAATTACTGTACAATTGTACCGTTATTGAAATACAAACAAAAAATATTAATACCGTATGACTTAAATGATTCCCAATAATGCAAAAGTACAATTAAAATATTGAGTCTTGCAATAATTAATCAAAAGAAGATTAATTACAGAAAAAAAAAAAAAAACATAACCTATATTTGTTTTTCTTTTTTTAATGCAAGAAAGTGATTTTCAAGGTTCATTATTTGTAATCTTTAATATTATACTCAATTTTGAATGCTATGAATATTTTTATTATAAGGATAAGGGGATACCCTACATATACACATTATTGCCTCAACTGAGGTTCAAACCTTACACTTCCCACTTAAGGGAGCAACCCAATACCAATGGATTACAAGCCACATTATTATTATTATTATTATTATTATTATTATTATTATTATTATTATTATTATTATTATTTAATAATCTTTTTATAATTAATTTACAATAATTGATTAATTTTATATCTATTTTATTTATTAATGTTATAAGTAGCTTTGTTAATATTATTCTATTTTAGGATTATTTTTATTAAATTTGTCTATTATTTAAATTCTATTAGAACAATAATTCCTTAACTCCAATTTAATAATAATAATAATAATAATAATAATAATAATAATAATAATAACAAAGCTACTTATAACATATCTATTTTATTTATTAATGTTATAAGTAGCTTTGTTAATATTATTCTATTTTAAAATTATTTTTATTAAATTTGTCTATTATTTAAATTCTATTAGAACAATACTTCCTTAACTTCAATTTAATAAGATTATTATTATTATTATTATTATTATTATTATTATTATTGATTGACGAGAAAGAAGTGGATCGCAATCTTGCATAAGACTTCCGGATGGCGTTCTTCAAGCGATCCGATTCAATGGTGGAAGATTTGACCGAGTTCGATGGCATTCATTGGTTCTGAATTTCTGCGGCTATTCTCCATCAGAATTATGGAAGTATGATAGAGGCCGGGCATATAAAAGGGAGGCCAAATCTTCATCATGGATCATCAGTTAACTCCGGACCAATTCCGGAGGCGGCGGCCGTTCTTGGTGTTCGGCGATAGCGGCCGGATTCCTTGGAGCAACCAGCCACTGCCGTCCGGTCACCTCCGTTGTTGCTTCATCGGAAACCTGCTGCTCCTTCTTTTCAGAAAATAGAGGAGGAGATGGCCCGCCTACATAGCCCGTTGCTGCTGCCCTACTTCGAGATGAAGGCATACGGGCCTGCTTCACGGAGACGTCGCACCTGCCGAACTCACCCGTTCCACGACTTGCGGCACCAGACAGCAGGCACCACATGCCCACTAAGGAGGGACACCGCTGCTCACCAAGCTCCGCCGCTGCGCCGTCGAGCTCCGCCGCTACCTCACAAGCTGTCACAACACGTCCCGTCGTCGTCGTCGAAGCCTTCTAGAACCACGCACCACCGCATCACACTAGTACCCATCACCGAAAGAGGAAACCCACGACGGAGGAGCTTGTCGGCCTACTAATAAACATTATTTTTATTATTATTTTTAATAATCTTTTTGTAGTTAAATTGCAAAAGTTAATTAATTCTATATCTATTTTTATTTATTATTATGCTTTATTAATATTGTTTAATATTGGATTGTTTTTTTGTTATTAAATTTATCAGCTCAATAATCTCCTAACCTCAAAGGGAATCGTCACTTGTGAGAATTTTAAATCTGGGTTATCTTAAAATTCTCCCCCACAAAAAGAGTTCATTTACGGATTATCCTAAAATTCTCTCTCACAAAAAAAAGCTCATTTACCACTTGAGCTACCCTTCTGATATCTCCTAACCTCAATTTAATAAGTTTATTATTATTATTATTATTATTATTATTAGTTTATTTTAGTTATTTGTATCAGTCCAACATTTGGAGTCCACCAAATAAATATTCTTCCCTTTTTGCCTCAATTGCAATCGACGTACGAGAGGATTCTACGCGAGAAGTCTGATCTGCGAATCAGAACCGCGGGGAACTCGAACGGAAGCCGTTGGGTATGGTTATTATAAATGGAGGCCGATTCAAGGAAGGGATCATCAATCTACCCCGGAGCAACCAGTCGGTACGGCTGGGTTGATTTTCCGGCGACGATTTCGGCGGTGACAGTCCGGTGAACAGCGGCGGTAGCTCCGAACTCTTTCAGGCGGTGATTGGAGAATTATCAATTTTGGCAGTTTTTGATTCTCTTTGCTGTAGCACACTCCTGGGCAAGCATTCTTGTGGTTTTCCCTTTCATTGTTTTGTTTTTACTTTAAGTATACTTTATTTGTTGGTAGCTTTGCTTAGCTCTTCCTAATTTATTCAATTGCATAGAAGATTTATTTTGTTGATTAGGAATGATTGCCGTACTACACATTCGGGTTAGCTTTAGTTTTATTGTTTTTGTTTTCCTTTTCTTCGATTCGTAATGCTCTCTGTGTCAATTCATTAATTCCTAAATTGAGGGATTTGAGGCTACACTGTTTCGCTTCTTCAATTCCTAAAATTTAAGCTTGGTTATTGCTCTTTCTACTTATTGGTTAAACTCAATTTCATTTTTAATTAATGTTTAGTTAATTGATTCCTGTTCCTAGTCTTATTCCTTGCTATTATGTTTGCTAGTTATTCAATCATGCCTTTGCAATTTCATTTAGTTAATCCATTTTGAATGACAATTCTGTTTTCTCGGATTTTGATTCTTTTATTTTCCTAAGTTATTTCCATTCCGTTTAATTTACTGCAATTGAAACTTTAATTTGAATTCTCTCATTTAACTTTTTTAATGAATTAAATTGTATAGTATCAATTCCCTGTGAGATGGACCCTTGCTTTGCACGCTATAACTACAATTGACTTATGCACTTGCGAGGACATTATATTAAAATTGTTCATAACCTACACTACTTCACTCTACTTCACTGAAATAGGGAACGTCGCCGGAGACTGCTCAGCGACGTTAGAAGAGAGCTGAAGAGAAACGGAGGTCCGAGAGTCGCAACGCTGCTACGCTACAAGACAAATCCACCACGGCTATTGCTACTTCTTGTCTTCACTGTTGGCCAAGAGTGAGGAAAAGCTGAGCGCGTGAGGAAGGAAGAGGAAGGTGACAGGAGATATAGGAGAAATGACAGGTTTGCCCTCACACTTAATGGCCATTTGATAGCAAACATAACGGGAAGACCACGGGTGGTTATTATTTTTAAAAACTTGGAGGACGTCTCGTGGTCGTTTAAAAG